GGCTCAGGTCATGGTCCCAGGGTCCTGGGATCAAGCCCTGCATCGGGCTCCCTGCTCAGCAGGAAGCCTGCTTCTCCCTCTCCCACTCCCCATGCTTGTGTTCCCTCTCTGGCTGTGTCCCTCTCTGTCAAATAAATGAATAAAATCTTAAAAAAAAACCAACAAAACAAAACACGGAGGTAAACACCTGAACAATTACAAGAATGGATAGTATTGCCCTTGGCAACTTGGAGTCAGGATTATAGAGAGATGATTCAGAAGACTGCCATCGTTTGTTTGTTTGTTTCTAAGTATAATAAGCCCTGTAGTAGTATTTGACAGTTAACCTCTGGTATATATTATTAGCTAGAAAAACAGAGTACCATCATTCTGAAACTGGGCCTTCTCTTTCTCTTCTCACCCTTTCCTGGTGGTTGTTCCAATGTCGTGCATTCAAATTTCTAAAGAGTCCTACACAAGTTCATGTATGCCATTTTGGAGATTAGTTTTCTTTCTTTCTTTTTAAAGATTTTATTTATTTATTTGACAGAGAGAGACACAGTGAGAGAAGGAACACAAATAGGGAGAATGGAGAGGGAGAAGCAGGCTTCCCGCTGAGCAGGGAGCCCGAGGCAGGGCTAGATCCCAGGACCCCGGGATCATGACCTGAGCCGAAGGCAGACGCTTAACAACTGAGCCACCCAGGCGCCCCTGGAGATTATTTTTCAATGAAAAAAAAATCTAGGAACTAAATCATATTTTCTCCCTTCTCTTTTCTCTCTCTCTGTGTGCGCGCGCGTGTGTGTGTGTGTCTGGTCTCTGGGTCATTGTTACTCTAATAACCTTCTAATTAACTACAGTAATTAATTGGCATATGCAGAGAATTGAGAGAATATGTCAAATCTGTCAGAGTAAAAAGGTACAGCCTGAGATAATTCCTAGATTAGTGTTCCATTCAAAAGTAATAACCGTGCTTCCAAAAATGAAAGATAATGAATTCCTACCTCAAAAAAAGACAGAGAACTCAACAAGTTAAAGTTTGTTATTATCATTGCTTTATTAAAAGCATTAGATATTCTGCAGAGGATACTTGTCTGAAAGAATATTTAACAGTGTTCCTCAAGGTTAAAACACATATACTTGTCCCCTTTCCAGAAGAGTTATGAGACATACAAATTCTCTTTGCTGGACTAGGTGGGATTCCAACTACTAACACTAGATAGAAGCTCTTTTTTTTTTCACGATTTTTTTTTTTAAAGATTCACTTTATATATTTGAGAGAGAGAGATAGAAAGCGCAAGACGGGGATGGGGCAGAGGGAGAGAATATCCAAGCAGACTCCAGCTGAGCATGGAGCCCGACTCCAGGCTGGATCCCACCAGCCATGAGATCAGGACCTGAGTCGAATCCAAGAGTCGACAGGCAACTGACTGAGCCACCCGGGCGCCCCTTTTTTTTCATGATTACTTAAAGCATTTTTCCTACTTTTTTATTGAAAAGTACTCTTCCTTTTTACCTGCCTTGTTTTGGAAGGAATTTAAGGCTGATTAAAAACAATCTGTACTACCACACACAAAAAGGTAGGTGAGGAAATTAGGATACTCTATTATAGAATAGAAAATATATAATATGTATTATATATTGCACTTATATACATATATTAATATACATGAATTAGAAATATTTATCTGATTAATTCATCCTGTCCCTTCTTTCTATCCCTCCCCTTTCTGTCCTGATTTTAGTTGTCTTTGCCATCTTTCCCATGTTTTATTTTTGCTAAATAGTCTATTTCCCCTGCTCTTTATTTTGAAAAATTTCAAACCTTGAGAAAAAAGAATTCAAGAAAAAAATAAATAAAAAATAAAAAAAATAAAAAAGATCATGCTAATTCTGGAAAAAAATACTCATTATTCACCTAGATTCACCAATCGTTATCTGTTAACTTTCTTTCTGTATAGGTGTGTGTATAATATATATTACACACTATATGTATAATTTACATAATAAGTGTATGTAATATATAAATTTATATTTTATATGATTTTATATATTATATATTATACACATACACACCCCTAAACAGAAAGACAGCAAATGATGAATCTAGGTAAATAATGAGCATCAATTATACTATTTTTGTAAATTTTCACAAAGTTTGAAATTTTTCAAAATAAAAAATATGAAAGATATACGTGTATATAGATATATAACATATATATACACAAATAATAGTTTTTAGTTTTTGGCTGAGCAGAGTTAGTTGCAGACATCATGATACTTCACACCTAGATAATTCTACTGAGTTTCCAAACATGGACATGGACATTCTCCTACAAAAGCACAATAAGAGTCAGGAAATTTAAGCTTGATAGTATCTAAGAAACAGTCCATAATTACCCCATTCACCTCAATAATATCCTTTACAGCTGCTCCCTTTCCCTTTCCACACTGCATTTAACTGTAGTGTCTTTTTAGTCTCCCTTAATTCACAACGGTTCCCTAATCTTTTCATGTATTTGCCTTTCTTCCTATTTATATTTTTGAAGACTCCAGACCAGTTGTTTTGGAAAACGTCCCTCAGTTTGAGTTTGTCTGACTATTCCTCTAATGATTCTCCTGACTTCAGCCTTTCTCCTTGCCAATCATTTTCTACAATTACAGTTAAAAAAAAAAAAAATCCTGATATTCCCTTGCTTAAAAGTATTTGAAGATTCTGGGCGCCTCAGTGGCTCAGCCGATTGAGCGTCTGCCTTCAGCTCAGGTCATGATCCCAGAGTCCTGGGATCGAGTCCTGCATCGGGCTCTCTGCTCATCGTCTGCTTCTCCCTCTGCCCCTCCCCCAGCTCGTGCTCTCTCTCCCTCACTCTGTCTCTCAAATAAATAAATCAATAAAAATCTTAAAAAAAAAGGTATTTGAAGATTCCTTTTCACCCCCTGGATAAACTAAATTCCTTACCATACCTTTCAAAGATTGTCACAGTTTAGTCTGATGGCCCTTTGCAGCCTCATCCCTTCTAGTGATTAGTGGTTTGTACTTCAGGTATGCCAAACACCAGATGCTGTTACTTTTTCTCACAGATATTTGTTGAATGCTGATAATCCACCATGGTTGGTAGGTGTGGTAGCTTTTGGGATACAATTCCAAACAAGGCCAACATAGTCTATGTCCTTATGGAATTTATACTAAATTGAAAATGTCAGGGGGCCTGGGTGGCTCAGTTGTTAAGCGTCTGCCTTCGGCTCAGGTCATGATCTCCAGGTCCTGGGATCGAGCCCCTCATTGTGCTCCCCGCTCCGCGGGAAGGCTGCTTCTCCCTCTCCCACTTCCCCTGCTGTGTTCCCTCTCTTGCTGTGTCTCTGTCACATAAATAAATAAAATCTTAAAAAAAGAAAAGAAAATGTCATCTCTTTTGTGCTTCTATAGCACTTTATACACACTCTTATTATAACATTTATTGTATTGCATTGTAACTTCTGTTTGTGTATTTATCACCCAGCTGGACTGTGGGCTTTTCAAGGTTAGGATAAATTTTATTCATCTTTGTTTCCCTGGGACCAAGAGTGTAGCAGGCATTAAATAATTTTCATTCAATAAATGAATGAAATAAATCATTCCTGCTAAGTGTTAGCTAGCAAGGGATCTCTTTTTAAGTTAAGGAATATGCTTTACTACAATTACATTTTGTAAACTCTCTCAGTGAGGGAGGTTTTTAGTTCTTCAAATCATACACCTTCATATGGTTAAAGGATGGCTCCAAAACTATTTCCAGTAGGAAAATGCAATAAATAATAGGGCGAGAATTACTCTATATTATACATATATATACTCTAGTTTATATATATATATATATATTATTCTATATTACTCTGTTACTCAGTTGGCACTGCTGCTTCTATTAAAACTCCACCCAGTGACAAGTGCTTTTGGTCAGGGGGTACTTCCAAAACTGTGACAGCAACGGAAATAACAATTGCATTTCATTACCCTTTTCGTAAAACACATTTTAATGTAGGTTCTTACACTTTCCCATAAACAGCTTTCAGTCAATTAATCAATTTCCATTACTAGTTCATTACTCTTGAACATTCATAGGGTATTTCTGGTACTTTAATTTTGTTTTACACAGTGCAACAATGCTTTTTTAGTTCCTGTCTTGTTTCTCTGAAGAGTTTGCAGCTCCCTAAAACGTAGTCCAACACAGTATTAGGCACAAGTAAACAGGGCACACTTTTAAAATTGACGCTCTCACAAAACCTCAGACGGTATTAAGAGCATATCAAGGAACATAGTAATACTGCCTGTCAAGAAATATATATTCTCAAACTTTAACGTGCATAAGAATCACTGGGGGTGGGAGATCTTGTTAAAATTCATGTTCTGATTCAGTGGGTCTGGGTGGAGTCCGATAATTTGCATTGTTGACAAGCGCCCAAGTGATGCAGATGCTGTTGGTCCCCGGACAACACTGAATAGCAAAGATCTAAAGGAATGTGCAAAAGGAAGGCAGATGCTTTGCTCCAAAACATATTTTGCTGAGCGTTAATTAAATACAAGTATGGTTAGGGTGGAGCCAGGCCGAGCACTTCTTACCCAACCTCAAACCTCCTCTTCCCAGTTTATCTCCCCGAGTCCAGCTAAAGTCCCCACCTCCGTAAATCTTAAGAACACAAGCAGCAAAGGCCCAGCTACTGAAGACGCGAGCCCAGGTTACAAAGGGAGATCTCCCTGCACTTACAAGTCTAAGAGCCCCGGTATAGATGGAGTCCGGGTAGAGGCCTCTCCTTCGCCATAAAGAAAGATTTAAAATTAAAACCTTATCATAGAGGGACCAATCATAGCAAAGGTCTCCCCATGATTCGCTCTCTGGGCAGTGTCGGAGCACAGTCTGGTTTGTGATTGGTTAGGAGGTCACCACGTGCTGGCCAATGAAAGCTGAGGCGCTACTTGTATGAATAAGTGGAAGGCGGGAGCGAAGGGGAGGGGAAGCAGGAGACCTAAGAAGGTGTGTCACGTCCCTATGCTGTTTGTGGAAGCTTTTGTGTCATTGGTTGGCTCTTCTTCCGATTGTACCAATCGCAAGCTCTTCTCTGCGGAGCCCTAACTATGAAATTGAAAGTAGAGATGAGGGTGCAGCCAATGGAAAAAAAAAGTGCACAGCAGCCAATCCTCCTGCAGCGTTTTGTGTCTTTGCCCAACTAGAGAAAGTGTTTCATGTGGAGGGGCGTTACCCAGTCGCCAATGGGCGGGCGCCAGTGAAGCGGAGGAACCAATGAGTGTGAGACGTTGAGTGACAGCTGTCCAATAGGGACCCTCGGTGCTAGTACGGTTTGCGGCTTAAGCACCGCCGCGGTCTGAGGAATGTCAACTATTCAACATGGAGGCGGAGGTCGATAAGCTGGAACTGATGGTGAGTGTAAAGTGAAGGAGATCTACTGGGTAGATTCTTTCTCTCGGATGGCCTCCAAGGTGGGATAAAATTTTGAGTCGCCGGAAACCCTGGGCGGCAGAAGCTGGACCATATTGGAGTTCCCTCCTCTTGTATCAAAGGGAGTCGCCGCCGCCTGGTCTCTTTTAACCGCCGCGGGGGAAGGGGTTACATCCGGGAAACTCGGGAGGGAAATGGCGGGAGATGCTGAGGTAGCCGGGCCTTTGGAATTCCTTGTTCCTTGCCCTGACCTTTCCGCCCCTCAGGGAGCTGTGGCTCCTGAAGACAGCGTTCTATGCATTTCCCCCCAAAAGACGTGACTGGAATGATCCCTAAACGCCCCTAGAAGGGGAGAGGTCGTTCACACTCCAAGAAAGGGGGACGGAGGGTGGGGTGGGGAATAAACCGAGGGGGGCGGAGAGAACTCCCATTACGGCAGAGCGGTTCACGTTATCCAAGGCGGGCTGAGAAAGTCTGAGAAAGGTTTTGACTTGCGTGCAGAACTTCCTAGCGGCCAAGGAAGCCCCAAGACCAATTTCTGTTTGGCTCGAAGGTGGCAGTCCTTGGGTGGGGGAGAGGTGTGAGCGATGGGGACCTGAACCTCGAGCTCCTTTCTTGACGCACGGGAGGAATTGGGACATGGAAGCCACCCTGCTCTTGAGTCGCCGAATTTCATTCATTTATGAAAGTAGGGGGCGGGGGTGAATAATTGGAAAGGACTCCCGCTGCTGCTTGGCCTGCTCGGGGGCGCCAAGCTGAAGTGCTGTCCTAATTTTCTTCTATGGATCGTTCCCTCACTTGTCCTCTTTATTCCCTTCCTCCCATTCTTAGACTACCAGCTTGATCGCCCGCGCTTTTTTCTTCTTAGTTCTCCTTGTTCTATCTTCAGTCCTTTGCCCCCTCATTACCTTGTGTGAATTGAGCTGGCTTTCTTTAAAATGTGGAATTTGGAGGACGCGCCCATCATTGAACTCCTGTCGGTTTTTTGTTAAAGAAAAATAACAAAATTAAGTAAAAAAGCCCAAATCTTTCTTTTCTATCGCAGTCTGCCGTCCTTCCCCTACCATACTCTGGCTTTACAACCTGGGTATCATTTGTGCCAGTGCTGCTCTATCCAAGCTGAACCTTGGGTCACTTCAACATCAGCACTGGTAGTGATCCTGGAAGAAACTGAGTACCACCCTCATCCTCATTCCCACCTCTAGAAAATGTGAGAGCTTGATATATCTTATTATTTTCTTCTGATGTATTAATGAATTATAGTGCCTCTCATATACACATTTGACTTGAAGGCTTTCAGTTGATTCTAACCATTTTGAGTTTTAATTTTCTTTGTGGGAGTGTGTGGGGGAATGGCGTCGGGCGGGGGTGGGATGGTAGTGAAGAAGGAAGAATTTTTTGTTGCTTTCCAAACCTGTAATAATGAACTTTTAGATCAGAGTTTTGTTATTTTTATCATTAATGGTCTTAAACAAACAGAAGAACCCAAAACATGTCAAGTATCCTAGTTTGATTCTGTTAGCAGGCATGAATGTTTAACACTGTCTTCCCCTCTTCCCCATTCTGAATTCCTCACTCTGGATGGATATTTCTGCCTAATTTTAAGATGCTAAACTGCTTTTAACAGTTTTTCTACCCGCTCAAGTTGGCTGTTTACTTTTGAGGTACCAATTAAGCCTTTTTTGGACTTTGCATGAGAGTCACTATTCGCACAGGATTTTTTTTTTTTTTAAAGATTGAACACATTTTAATTTAAGAAGAAAATGATTAAGTATACATCTTGAAAAAAGGTTTTAGAAGATTGTGAGGTAGCCAGACTCTTAAACTTTTAGGTGTTTGAATGATGGGGTAGTTTTAAAAAATTCTTTGTAAGAGATGAAGAGAAGAAAGCAGGTCTTCTTAAATTACCTGCAGGTAATTACTTGCAGCCTCCTCCCTCCCCTTCAAGTTATTAGTTTGTTTCCACAATCATCAGGGTTTAAAAACTGTATTTGAACTATTATAGTTTTGTTATTACTGCTTTCTATTGATTGGATAGTGAAGGATGGTGTATCTCATCTTCAGATTTGCCATGTGCTTTAAAATGTTTTGTCTATGAACTGGTTTAATTTCTAAGATTGGAAAGAAATTATTTCCTATACAATCCTCTGAGTTTTGGTTCTACATTACTTGAATAAAGGATTTGTTGAGGAACTAATGTTGAAAATTTAATAAGTGAAAGAGAATGCATACTATTTAACTTTGTAAAGAAAGTACTTATTCTCACTTTGCGGACAGACTGGTCCTCTTATTCAAAAAATATTCCATATTTTTCTTGTTTGAATTAACTTCAAATTCATAAAATTAAACATCTGTCTCTGAAGTACCTGTCTTTAAAACCTGATCCTTGGCTAGCAGAGTTGAAGTATTCTAATACCTGAGTTATGTGGCCTTAGGATTAGGTCAGGTCACTCATGTTCCCTCTGTCCTGAATTTGAGTTTATTTTTTAGGGGGTTGAATCTAAATAGCTGAACTAGACTATTTAAAGAAAGTTTTGTGAAAATAATGGAAAGTATTTTTGCATCAATCAACATATTAATGGGGGAATAAGCTCATTGTAGGGTAATCTTTGTTCTCTAACTTTTTTCCTTTCACTTACTGGTTGAGTGGTATTTGGTGTTCTTTTGTGATACCACTAGTGATTGTGCACAGAAGTACACTGTGATACTATGATACTATTTCTATTTCTGGGTTTACATCTGACTTTTAAATGGGTTCTTACCAGTTCAAAGAGTAAGATAATGATAATTGGCTTGAATCCAAGAAAACCTGATTACTAAATCGCAGAACCTCCTCCTGTACCATTATTATTTCCTTCTTGATGCTTGTACATTTGAAGGAAACGGAGATGATTTCCTCCTATGTTCAAGATCTTTAGGGGTTAACTTAAATTTTAAAATCCCTTTCCATAGTATTCCCTTAGGTAGGGTCTTGTTTAGGACACATTAATTCCCTGGGAATCTGTAAGCTTTTGTGATAACAAGCCATAAGACTGTTAAGAACTTTTTAGAGTTTAGTGTAGTTTATTTTATTTTTTAAAAGATGTTATTTATTTATTTGACAGAGAGAGCACAAGCAGGGGGAGCAGCAGGCAGAGGGAGAGGGAGAAGCATGCTCCCTGCTGAGCAGGGAGCCTGATGTGGGATGTGGGATGTGGGGCTCAATCCCAGGACTCTGGGATCAAGTTTAGTGTAGTTTAGATTCCAGAAAGCTAGATTGGGTATTTAGAGATTGGGAAACTTATTTTACTTTCTTTACTTTACCTTTTCGTTTGTTTATTCCAATATTCTTACTTAATCAGTTGCAACGAGGGAGCTAACCAACACATCTCAGCAAAACAAATATTTTTCACGTTTGCCTTAGTAGTAATTATAACCCATTTTGTTAATACTAGTCTCTAGTCTCTGAAGCTTAGGACGTATTTACAAAATTCCTTTCTATATGTTTCTGTTAAATATTAATCGTAGGTTAGTCATGAGAAAACTGTTATTTGGACATTTAAGTTCAGTTCTTTTTAACATTGATATACATGTTCTTAGGTTTTGGATGTCTTCTGTCCAAAATGGCAACCCTTCTTTAAATTCTTTTCACACTGAAGCTTCAACTGATGCAAGATGCTTTTGTGTTCCTTTCCTACCAATTTCTGCTAACGAATGCTCTGACTTTATTGCACTACTGTACTTTACAGCTAGCAGTGCAATAGTATTGTCAAAGCATCTGAAAGCAGAATGCACACCAGAACTTTGATTCTTGCCTTACATCTTTCTTCAGTATCTGTAATTTACCACAATCTTTGTTGCTGAAAAGTGTATAATTTTATTACCCTAGGTATATGTTTTAGGAAGTCATAATTTGAAAAAAAAACTCACTATCGTAATAAATGCACTATGAAACACATTGAGATAACATTTTTAATAGCTGAAGTTGTTATGACTTGTTTAAATGAGTAGTTGTATTTTTCTTCTTTCTGTAACAGATTTGGATAGGTTCTGGCATCTCTTGCGTTTTCTTTAACTGAGTTTTAAGGTGAATTAGTAAGTGATGAAAACAATCTCTGCTGTATATTTCATATGATAACTTGCCCCAAATCTTAATTGGTGTTAATTTTGTGTGCTATGTAGTTTATGCTTGAATTTCAAACTTAAGAGTACTTGTTTTAAAGTTCTTTTTTGTAATAATGAAATAGAATAAAGTATGAATCCATTACTTTTTTTGTAATCAGTTTTGAGATATAATTTGCATACAGTAAAACTTACCAATTTTAGTTGTACAATTTGAAGAGTTTTGACAAATATGGACAATCATGTAACCACTACCACAGACATGGTTTAGAACATTTCCATCACCTAATGTTCCCTTA